TTTAATACCTGTTCAAACAGAAATTCAGATAAATGTGTCCCAGTTGTATGCAACAGGAAATGCCTGCCTCCTTTTTAGATATGCTTGCAAATAAGCTCTGTTGATTTCCTCAGTACTGAATAGAAATGTTGGGTCAAATATAAATGGACTCCAGTCCCTTTAAAGTGTCCGATTCAGGAAGTTGCGATACGTTCAGCTCAGCCCTGGCCTTACTCAGGACAAGGGGCTAATTCTCCTGATGCTAACATGCCCCCACAAACGCCCAGGTTAATGCATGCTCACCAAGGGCTCATATCAGATATGGTCAGCAGCACTAACAGAGCGCAGAAATCCTGACGTATGATATACTTCTCCTTATCCAACAGAGCTGGATCCTCCTGGAGTCTACTCATTGTGGCTAAAGGTCATCTTTCTCACTTTTGTGAAGTTACAGGTGTGAACCTACCTCTATCTTCTCAGCTGGAAAGAGCCACTTCCACTTTTATCTCAACTCTTCCTTTATCCTGCTCTGAAGGTGAAGGAATTAGAAACACTTCTGAAGGAGGCTCTCTACATGCTTTTGCTTCCAGCTTACCTCCTTCATCCAGAATAATCAACCATCCAGTTAAGTCATTGGTGGCCATGTGCATGACTCCAAGTGACAGATTTACATGCTAGAGAATTTATCAGTCAGTAGTAATTTTGGCAATAAATATATATTTGTCCTCATGCACAAATTGGCTGAAGAAAGGGAGAACAGATACTCTGGGAAAAGGAGAAGGGAAACTGCTGATGTTACAAGGCTTTTTGTAAAAGTATGCCTACATGTCTGTTTGTTACAGACTGGTTTGTCTGAAGTTCTGGATGCAGATTTGAGCTTCGGAGGATGTGTGAACTTTGAGCAGGAGTTTAATAGCTCAACATAGCTCTGAAACACTCATACTTCTACTGAGCTAAAGTGCCTCCTTCTGATAGATAATGCTGTTGTGTGCCATGTTAGCTACAGAAAGACGCAGCTCATTTAATGTGTGGCCCAGTGTGCTTTTGAAAAATAGCAAGCCTTTGACTCAATAGCAATTGCAACTAGTGGAAAGCAGTTACGGTTGCATTCAGTAACCTCTGTTTCCCTCATTCATTAGTGCCTCCTATTTAATTCCATTTGGAGAGGAAGAGCATGCTAAATTGTTAAGGAGTCATCCAAATGGAAGGAAGTCCTCTCCTCCCAGCTATGCACAGGCGCTCTCTTGGTCTTGAAATGACCCCAGGGCCCAGACTTAGAGTAGTAGCTTTGGCACATGATTCTCCTGTCCTCATCAGCCACATCCCCAGCACGTGGCCACGTGGACTCTTTCCTCCTAGCATGCAAGTTGTGTCAAAAGTGCAAACACAGGTGTCCACCCTGGTCTTTCAGCAGCAATTAACCTTTCCTCCTGGGTTTCCTTTGAAGCTTACTCATGTTTTTATTGCAAAATAGCAGTGAAGAATTTTATGGAGGCTAATATCTAAACTTCCACATTACCTAATCTCATCTGTTCCCTTATCAGGGGCCTCAATTTTGTTTCATTCCAATTCTAATGGGGATAATTATTAGGCTTTACAGAAGCCATCTTGAATTTCAAAACTGCAATGCTATCTGCGTAAATGATTTGTAGTTCACTTAGAAAATGGCATGTGGAAGCACAGTCCTTTTGTCTAATTTGAACTTCACAGAGGTTTTCTGCCAGCCAACATCCCACAGTTTCACTGGATCCTTCTGATCCATGTCAGTGTAAACTGTAAAGAGAATAGTCCTACATCCTTGGAAAAGGAAGACCAAATCCTCAGTAAATGCTCATTGGTTTCAGTGTAGCTCTTTCTATCAGTACTTTTGCAAATATGTCTAAATGGTCTTGCCTTCTCTTCACCAGTTGCAACTCAGCTCCTTGTTTATTTTGAGGTTTTAATATATATTTTTGCTAGAATACATTGCTATTTCAAGCAGAATAATATTTTAGTAATCTGTTTTACCCACACTGTTAAGCTGCAGGGTATAAATGCATATTATATTTTCCAGAGCTTTCAAGCTGAAAGCCCGTTTTTAAATATGACATTGGGTGTGGCTGCTGGAAATCAAAGGAGTCACAATAGACTAGCGCAAATGGATTTGTCTCACTGCCAAACTTCCAGAGGCCAATTTATCAGCTGCAGGTTTGACCCTATATGGCTAAAACTAGTGTAACCAGAATGACTGAGATAAGTATAACTGAGGCCTTTGAGTCTGCGAAAGAGAAATTAAACCGAACTGTCCCTGGAGGAGAAGAAACATCTGCAAACCCATATTTGCTAAATGTTTAAGGGCTCAGCTTATGCCAGTCAAGGGATAGTATCTGCTGAAGAGCGGAGCTGGGTGGCAAGTGGGGCTGGGAGGCATGGCAGTAAGTCACACGGCCGCTTCTGCGAAGGGTGCGGCGTGGGTTGTTGTGCTTGCTGCTACTGAAGTGACCTGGCTGAGCTGCTTCGGTGTTTTACAGAAGACAGCTAAGAGATAAAGGAGTGCAGTGGCCATGGGGCAGATGGAGAGCCCTGGTTTTGTGGGGAACTGCTTGGCGGAAGGGGAAACCAGCAAGGAACGTGTGAGAGAAACTTTTAAAGGAGTTTGGGTGTCAGGCACCCAGCTGTCATAGAAAATCAGCAGGATTTAGATGCCTGAAGTGGTTTTTTTTTTTTTTTGGTAAAAAAACCCCTTCCAGTGAGCCATGTGCTTATCATCATCCAGATCACTTTCTTTATGTGATTTCTTTTCCTGCACCCCATGTGTATATGAGTTTTTTTTTTTTTTTCCCTGTTTCAAAACCAGCTGAAATCTTTTAGGCAGGACTGCAATATAAACAGTCAGAGGAAGAAATCTGAACGGGAGCGAGCCCGTCATGGCTGGACGTGGTATTGCCGCTGGCCTAGCGGTGGCAGGGAGTGGAGGAGAGTTTCACGGGGACGTGGGAGGCCCAGCCCTGCCTCTTCTCTCCTTGTCTGCTGCAGCCCAGCTTTTCTGCACGCTCAGGCAGAGCAGCATTTGTGGGTAGCAGCAATGCCGTGGCATGATGGAGATGGCTACTAATAAGATCATTTCAGCACGGAGCGGTGAAGTGAATCAAGGCATCTGGATAAAGATCCGTCCCTGTCCTTTTTGTGTCTTCTTCCCCGTCCCCTAGAAGTTCAGGCTGAGTCTTGCCGTGGACTACCACCTGGCAGTAAGGCTATGGGCACGGGCTTTTATGTGCTAAGCACAGAAAAAGTCCCCTGTATTAGCGCTAACTTTGCTTTTGGGCTCGCTTTCATTAGTCCTTGAGCATCTTTGCAGGGCTCTGCACTCCTGAGCTATTGCAGGAAGGAATTCTGAAGCAGAAGCAATGGAAAAACCCTCTTTGCGTCTACCACATCTCAGTGGTTGAGTCGGTCAAGATTTTCTATTTAGGTGTTAGAAAAGTGATAAACAAATCAATATTGGGTTCAGTTGTTAAAGTGTGGGGGGAGTCTGCCAAACCAGAGGCTAAGGGAGTGGGTAGATGAACTTTCTTATGACATGCATGAGGTCATAGTCAGTGCCACATAAAAGAAAGAAAAACAGTTCATGGCTGTGAATAAATTGCTCACAGATGAAGAATCTAGTTTGCCAGTCATGTGATGGGAGCAATCTATTCAAATGATTTGTTATGTCCCAGTGTTTGTCTTAGGCAGTACCAGAAGCATGAAAATATAGATATAATGTTGTTAGATAACGTGTAACAAAGATGTGAGAGATAATGGGCTATGACCTGATTTCAGCAGAAAAGGCATACAGTGCTAATCTACCATGGATAGTTTCTTTAATGAGCAAGAAATTGAAAGAACATTTTAAGGGTCCTATTTCTTCACTGAAACAGTATCATTCTGAACGCCAAGCACAGCATAGCACTTAATAGCTGGGCCAAACATATTATGCAAATATTCTCATGCTCAGATCTTAAATACCCAATCTCTCAACTTTATTCCTTGGAGAATAATATTCTCACCTTCTATGTTGGATATAAGTCATGAGCATTGGTGTGTGGGAAAAGTATGGTAACATTAATGAAGTCGAATGAATGTAAAAAATTAAAAAGTTTTTTAGTTAGTTTGTCATTTTTGCTCCTTTTGCTTATATTACTGGGTTGGTACTTTTTTCCTGGTGCAACTGAAGCCTCCCTGAAGTTGCCCTGAATTTTTGGACTGAAGGGAATTTACAATCAGCCTTACAGTTAGACAGTTAGAGCCGTCAAAAATAGTGGGTTTGGGTTTTTTTTTTTTTGGTTTGCTAGCTAAGCCCCAGATATTTTTTTTTAATGTGTTTTGGATCTGCCCCAGTTTTTTGTAAGTGTAAAAAGAGAAGGTTCAGGTTCTCTGTAAGGTGCTATTTGGATTCTAAACTTATATAGACCATTGAGTTTCTAGGAGGTCAATGGCAAGACACTGATTTACATCAGCTGAAGTTCTTGCCAATAGTTATGTGGTAGGCTGGACCCTTTCCTCTAAAGATAAATTGGAGGCCATCAAACTTAATTTTGGCTACTTTAGGTTCAGTCTGTCTCTCTAAAAGGCCACTACAGCTTTCCTGCTTTTCATTTCACTTCGATTTCAGTTGTAACGTATAATACTGGCTTTCAATTGTAATTTCAAAGAGTATGCTATGTAAAGCGCTATATCCGGACCAGATTGGGCAATAGGGTGTGCCTGCATATACATCTGTATGTAATTCACTCACTGATGCTAGGCTTGTGTTCAATGATGTAAACGACTTTTGATGTCAGAGATATTAAGAAACGCTGTGTACGCCCAGCCCTACAATAGGGAAAAGGTTTAGCTCCTTTCAGGTTGAGGCTCTGCTGCAGGAATAGTGGTTGATGAAGGTGTCGTCAGCCTAGTGAACTGTCCTTTCTATTTCATGTGCAGACTAAAGGAGATTCATATACAAAATCTGTCAGTATATTTCTCTCCTTTAAATCCCAATGTTTGGATTTATTTTTTAGGTGATGAATGCTTGTATGAAAGCTTTCCTGAACTTCCTTTGGAGGAAGTGCCAGAAGCTGATGGAGAAGCTGCAAATGTCCAGTGTCCAACATCCCTCAGCATTCAAGAGCCGTCTTCTCCAGCAACCTCCAGTGAAGCTTTCACACCAAAGGAGAGCTCTCCTTACAAGGCTCCAATATATATTCCTGATGACATTCCCATTCCTTCAGAGTTTGAGCTGCGAGAATCCAACATTCCTGGAGCAGGATTAGGGATATGGACCAAAAGGAAGATTGAAGTAGGGGAAAAGTTTGGCCCTTTTGTAGGAGAGCAGAGGCCACACCTTAAAGATCCCAGTTACGGTTGGGAGGTAAGACACTTAACATTCTTTCGGTCTGTTGAACTCTCTTGAATGTCGATAAACACAGAGGTATTTGTAGAATTTGAGTTCTATCCTGCAGTAGCCGGGGAATATTTTGTGTACACTGAGAATGTTTCATGGCTTTGTGGTGCCTTCTGCATAAAAATTAAAGCGTAAACCCTGCACTGTCTGAAAAGAAATTGGGTGCTGCTTTTGGTGTTGTTGATCACCACTTTCTGTTTACAACAATTAGAATAGCCCTAAAATCTTTTACCGTTTGCTAAATTAGTGTTGCAAAACCTTGTGCTACACAGGGACTTTGAATGCTAAGAGTTTGATCCTGGTTCCATTTAAGTTAGTGGGAATTTTGCCATTAATTCAGCGAAAGTATGTTTGGATCCTAGTGTCATAAACTTAGTACACGTGGGAATGATGTGGATCATGTTACTTCTGCAGATGCTCTGAGAAATGTTGTTTTTCATGAAGGAGTTTAAGGCCTACTTCGACGAGTACTGTGGCTGCAGCTCGCTTTCCCTGCCTTTTGGGGGCAATGGTTGTTCCTCACTTGGATAATCCTATGGAGCTGGCCAGGTTGCAGGTCCATGGCCAGACGCATTCCTGTGGTCCCCTTTCCCCTTTTGGAGCAGCTGGCAGTGCTCACACTTTGCAGTCTTGCTCTCTAGGGACAAAGATTGTCTTAGCACTCCTTGCCCTGTGTTCACAAGTGTCTCCGCACTGAATTTTCTCTTTTGGGGTAGTGGGAAGGATATTTTCTCTCGCATCTGGCACTAGAGAATGTCCGTAGCACCTCACACTGTCTGAATGTGCTGAAATCTAAAGCAGTTCATGTTGCCAGTCATCTAATCGCATGTTAGTCAAGCCCCTCACCTGAATCCTCAGACCCCTGTGGCACAGATGTGGCTTCTGGGCTGGAGAAGATCATATGTTTTTTCCTTAATGTTGGTATAAAGTGACACAAAAACATTCCTTCATAGTTTTATTCATAGTTTTAACAATGTGCTGTAGAAATGGAGTACAATCTTAGTTTTCCATCTGTACTTTTCCTTTGGATAACAGGGTTTCTGATAAGGGGAGAAGTGCTTCGTTTGCATGACTCTCCAGGGGCACGACTGACCTTTGGATAGCGGGGAGTTTCATTTTCCCAGGAAAAATGGAGTTTACTGTGGAGCAGAGCCTCAAAGATATGGCGGATAATAAATGTTTGGTTTGCTTTTAACTATCAATAAATACCCAGTGAGTTCATTCCAAACTTTCCATCCACTTGTTTAAACACTTGTGAGACCTGTGACAATATGACAGAATAGTGTCAAGAGAAATTATAGACTTGGCAGAACTCTATAAAGTTAACAGACCCTGATGCAATATAATTGCTGGTGAGAAATCTTTATTCTTTGAACAAGGCACAAGGAAACCATAAAAGCTGACTTTTAGCCACACCACAATTAAACTCAGATATCGATAACAGAAATTTGAGCAAAACTGCTGAGACACCACCGTAAATGCAGGTTTAACACATTTCAAAATTAGTGCATTTTAGGATGGATCATCCGGCAGCGTAACGCATAGTAGCCCCACTGAAATCAAGGGAAACCCATCTTGGTTTTCACACCCATGGATATTGATACTATACTGTAATAATAAGACTAGATTTTATGGTTCAAATAGTTAGGATTTTGGAAGCTACAAAATCCAAACAAGAGAAGTATATCTGGATACTGATGGAAGCTCAGATGTCACACCAAATCACTCTCAAGCTGTAGGACTCATGCCATTTGAACAGCAGTAAGTATTTGGACCAGCTAGGGAGAAGCTACTGACAAGTGTTGGAAGTAAATCACAGTCAACTCCCTCTGCAACTTCTCTGCAACTCGGCCACTCATCTAGAAGTACTCCAACAGTGCTCAAGGAAGCTTGAAACAGAGTATTTTTCCAAAAAGTGAGTTAAGTACATTTATTGTAATTGAAGGGAGACAAATATTGGTTACACAGTTTACACAATGAGCAAAATTGCAAGTACTGAAGATTAAGGCTAAAGGACAGATGTGGTGAATCTAGTTGCTTTGAAAAAGACACTTACCAGTGCTTGTCCCAGTCCAAACGTTCGTCCTCACGTTGGTCTGGAAATTGCCACTTCCTCGGACCTGCTTCTTGGTATAAAAAAGGGGAGGAAAAAAAATCTGCTAACAGCGTTTGGGCACAGGTGTGGGCTCAAAGTGTGGGATGGTGAGGAGAAAAGGTATCATTTATTGATGTTTAAATGCATTCTTTGGAAAATTAACTTTTCTACCTAAATGGGCACTCTCATGAAACTGGGCATTTCTCCTGCAAGGTGCAAGAATTTCAATTAGCAAACGGGTGTGGTGGATTCAATTTGCTGTTGCTGATATCAAGGTGAAATTTTGTCATTGTTTTCAGTGGAGAAAGGATGAAGCCAAAGTTCCTTATGGTACTAACTGTGGATCTCAGTCACTTCATACGGTGTATCAGTGCACTGATCTAGCTGTTGTCATCTTTTCTGTTTGATTATATATAGATCCTAAGATAGTTCCTGGTGCTATAAAGGTAAGCCGTGTCTGGTGACTTACAAAAGGAGATGAAGCACAAACTTTTACTGTTGCAGATGGTGGCTGCCTGCCCTGATACTGCTGCTGGTTAGTGCGAGTGCGAGTGACATGGGCCCTGAACGGGCTGAAAGCGCTTGTTGGTTCCATAGGCCAGAAAACTCTTTCCACTATGTCCCACTTTTTTGTTCACCTCACCTGTGCACCACTCAGGAAAACACACAGTGGGATTACAGCATTGCTAATTTAATTCTCTTGAATAGACTCCCCTACAGCTACAATAGAGATGATCAAGCTATTAGGAAATCAATTTTTCAATTTTGTCTGCATTTTTCTGAGGTTAAGGAGAAACCTCTAAACACACAATGGTGTTTGAACTTTGAAGATGCTGTAGGGAAGGATCCTTTTTTAGTAAAAAGATTGGTTTAACTATATCAAAAATATTTTGGGGGAAGGAAGATTTGCTCCTTGCTAGCAATTATTTAATATTGCTAGGTGACCTAGAGTCCTAAGCTAGAAAGTTCCAAACCAAAACCCTACACATGCATTGCAAGGAGGAGCTTATAACTAAATCCAAATTTGGACTGTAGATACATTTTTGGAAAGGACTTGTTTACAATAGACTATGTTAAAGCCCCATGCAAAAACTGTGCTGGATGTTTCCAAAAGTGTTGGATGTTTCCAATTTTGAGGTACTTTTGACTTTCAGTTTTTGTGACTTGAGTCCACCTCTGCTGATACTAGGATGAGCCTGTAGTGGTCGGGACAGAAATGAGAGCGAGAGGAATTGCCGCTCTTAAGTTTCGTAGCTAGGTAGTTGACGCAGAAAAATTTGCCGCTGCCTAAGCTTAGGAATTAGGCTTAGGAATTTCATGGAGCCTGGTCATACATTTGCCCAGAGAGCAAAAGTCCTTCTGGCATCGAGGCAGAGTTTTGTCAGAGCAAGTCTGAGAAAACGACATCTGTTGTGTCCACGCGTATACTTCAGCTATAAAATGCACTTGGGGACAAAGAAAATTTGTTGTGATATAGTTGTGCTTCGGTCATGATTAGAGTGCTGTAGACCAGTTTAAATGAAAAGCCATAAATTTGAATTTTATCACATTTTGTGGGTCTAGAGCTGAGCATTATCTAATCAGGTATTGGTTAGCTAAAGTACAAATCGAACACGGGGTCGCCGGACGGGGGAAAGGTCAAGCTTTTTTGCAGTTTGTCACTGTGGTTTTAGTATTTGCCGGCAGCCTGAATATCCGAGGGGGCCGGGTGGCTGTTGCTCAATGATTGTTTAAAAAGGGAAAATTGACTGCTTCTTAATCAACAAAGAAAACAAGCTTTTAAGGGATGGATGGCAGTAATTTCTTAAACAAAAGCAAAAGAACACGAATTTAGTGATTTCATCATAGTTCATGCCCTGCTATGAAAAACAGCTTGGAGAGTATTTCAAAGAAAGCCTTTAAATAGGTCACCAAAGCAAATGCACCTATCTACCACCAGGGTCTTCCAGAGCATGTCAAATATTCAAATTCGGGTCTTTTACTGTTATGGCAATCTCAAAATCACGTTCATAGGGACAATTTTTCTGCAGAACTTTTTATTCAAATGTTTATTTGATTTCTTTACTAGGACAGTAGAAAGAGGAGCAATAAACTCTAATAAATAAAATTTGTAATAGAAGTAAAAACTATTTTAGCACTTTATAAAATAATGTATAATCTGATCATAAAGCAGAATGGGCTTTCCTTTCATAGCACTGAGGTTGAGATTTAGTAGTTTATACTTGAGTTGATGCCTGAAACTCCTTATAACTTTTAAATGGAAGTTAGGAGGCTATTTGGTTTTCTGTCCCCCTAACATTTTCGACGTGCCTCTTTGGGGAAAGCTGGGCAGCTTCTTTAACACTGTGCTGGAGCAAGGGCTTCACACTGATACAGGGGGACTGGAATATTTGTAATTTTAAGTGTCCATTCTGTACTGTTTAGCTTTCCTTTGGCATTTTTTAAATATAAATTTAGGTGTGCCTCGAGATTTTGGTTTCCTAAAGTACCACCTGTCTTTATGAAAGATAAACAGTAAGTTACAAAAGGACCTAGGACTTCAGAACTGGACTCTAAAGTATGTATTCCCAAATCCATGTTATAGCGCCCAAACAGACAGCTAGATTTTACGGTCTCTCTCAGCACCTGAACACTTCCACTGTGATCAATGGAAGTTACGGGTTGATTCCTCTCTCTATACCTATGTAAACCTCCATTTTTGGATCTCCCTTTGGAAAATCTATGTTAAAAAATTGAAAGCAGCATCTGTTTCTTTAAAAACAAAATAAAATGAAGCATCTTTTAAATAACTGGGCATGAGATTCAGACATCTTAAAATGAGGACACCTGGTCGTGTGAAGGGACTAACAAACGTTAAGCTCGGCCTTCAGAGGAGGCTTTCATGTAAACTAGACTGATAGACAGGGGTTGCTTCTGCAAAATTAAACATGTTATAGTTTTGCAGAACAGAATAACACTGAGATGTAGATATGGTCATTTCTAGGTCATGGGATTACATGTGATTAGAAAGGTCAGTGATGAATGTATTTCCTTCCTAAGATGAAATTCTTCTTTTGGGCAGACATGAATTTAGCCGGTAATGTCAGCCCAGGTTCTCTCTCTTGCAGACTCAAATAGTGAAATAACTTCCTTATAGCTTGATGAAGACACACGGTGATAGAGCAGTAGATTATGCACGTTTCCAAGGGGAAAAATGAAAGGAACCAAGACTTCACCACTTCTGATTATTTTCCTTCAGGATATTGAGTAGGTCTGGTTGTTAAATATCTGCTGCTGTCTGACACTTTTCATGATCACTGCACTGACTTACAGACCACATCTTGACTTTTCTTTGAATGGTCTTTAAGGGCATTAACACGTAAAGCAACTGCACTCTAGACCAGATGGTTGGAAAGTGGGGAAGTATAATGCAGAATCCTCACCTATATTTTGTCCTTGCATACGGATCTCAGCAGCACAAGGATTTCGGGGACCTTGGCAAAATTATCATTACAGCAGAAACAGAAAGTGAACGATTCTGTTATTTGAACTTAAAAGCAATACATTTGTTTTGTAATGGGGAGATGGATGCTCTTCTGATCAATACAAGGCCAATCTGTTTGCAGATAACGTATTCCTCCCACCAGGGCAACAGACCATCTGTTTCTGGCAGTTACAGGTGGGGGTGACATCCTTACCTTTTCTTCAGTACTTAGGTGATGTTTTCTCCCATTTGGAGCTCAGCTTTGCAAGGCATAGAGCACTCTGGCTGAGATCCAATAAAGCACTTAAGCATGGGCTTATCATCAAAAGGATTACCCAGGTGTTTGAGTTAAGCATGTGCTTAGCTGCTGTGTTAAGCTCTGTGTTAGGGACATAGTGTTCAGTGCCACATAGGATGGAGTTCATCCCATATATCTTGCCTGGGGTGAGTATGTGTGAGGGGGCTTATGACAGCCCCTGCAAAGTTGCTTACAAAAAAGACATTACTTACAGTGCTGCTAATGCTGCCAGTCTGAATTCTTCTTTTCT